TTCAGTTCATTGAACCGAACTTAATTAAAAATCAAGTTGAAGGTCGACCACTCGATTCAGAGTGTGCGTATATATAAACAAAGAAAATATGCCGTATTGTTTATGTATTTCATTTAAATATAAAACGTTTTTGAGCCCAAAATCAGCCATACGCGATCAACAAAATTTCGTTTGAAGCAAAAAAGAAACTGGTAACTCGGCAAAGGTCAGTGAACATATTTAACAATAATAATAATAAAAACAAAAACCAGACACAACAAGTGAAGCCCAGTGTGAGACAGAGAGGAAAGTAGAAAGGAAGGGGGACTTTAATTCCGATCATGATTATTTCTGAGCAATGTCTCACGAAAAACCTGTTTTAATTGAAGCCCAGATTCGGTGGCTAGCTGCTGCCTGAAGTTTGGCAACAGCGCTCACGCAACTACCGAGAAATGTAAAGCAAACAAACAAAGCAGTTCGCAGCTCTGTGCCGCCAGCGGCAGTATTCCAATCAGAATTTCAAACATTTTAATATGAAAAACGTGACGCAGCAACAATAGGAAAACAACAGGAGGAAGAAACGTCAGACAGGAACGTTTGGGAACTGAAACGACAACAGCAGCACAAAAATATCTGCAGCTGCTTGAGACTTCAATTGTGGTCAGAACAATAACACAGATAGCCAGGTGTAACAAGATCCCAAGGTATCTGTCTTTATGTAATCAATTTGGCAAAGGGGAATAATGGTCGTATCTTCATATTGATATTGATTTGTATGGGGCATTTGTATTGACTACAAGAGTTTTATCCTGACTCTACATGTTGGAAAGTACAAAGTTCGGTTGGGATTCCAAAACTAGTTAGTTAGTTAGGAATAACGCACTTAATCGGTATATAAATCCAAAGATACATTAAAATTAAAAGTGAGAAAGAGAATAATTTGGTACTTTTTTAAATATACTTTGAGATACTTTGAAATTTGAGATGCTTCACAAAGAATTACTATGGTTAACAGTGCTGTGAAGAGGTGCGTTGATAGCCCGCGGCATTAGATCGCCGCTTACACGGTGGGTTTACGATAGTGTGAACGAGTTGAGTGTGTGTTAGTGGCAGGTGCTCGTTCGTGCGTGCCTGCAGTTGCATCTGTAAATGTATCTGTGTCTTTGTTTGTATCTGTGGCTGTGCTGGTGCTTGCACTTGCATTGGTGTCCGTGAGTGAACAGACTACGTAATAGCAGCATAACTGCATCGAGTGATAGTCACGTACGCCACACACCTCACAGTGACACCCGAAAAAAGCAACTCACAAAACCAAAACAAACCACACCACACCACACCGAACAAAACCAAACGCAGGTGTTCATTTTCATTCGCAGAGCGAGGAAAAAGATGGAGCTTCTCAGTTTCAATGCAATTCACTGCAAGCGCTGCTAACAAGTGTCACGTTAAATAAGGAAATGACAACAAGTTCTACTTGTCTACTTTAGTTGACGCTGCCTCGATTATGCAATGCATTTCGCCTTGGTATTTCTCTATCGCTACAGCAACCTATTATTTATAATCACTTTACGGTTTCAGCTCTGGCTGCGGGAACTTAAAGGTCATTGCTTAAAGTATTTGGCATTAGCGTCGCTGAAGTGTGCGTGTTTGCCTTAAGGCTACATTAATTTCAGCTTTGAACTTGCAGCACCAGCGGAATTTGGTTATTAACTTGGGCTTGTTCAGCTTGTAACCAGCTCCCCGCTGGTTAGAAGACTTCGCATGAGCTAATCGCAGTGGTTTAGTGCCCCTGGCAACTAGCTATTACTCATTTTCCAAGGTCTCGCCCGGCTCTTTTGGCCAATAGAATCAGCATTGGCTTTAACACTTTTTTGTTAACTAAGTTGAAGTTCTTAAAATATCATATTAAGTTTGGCATATTTTATATTTTAACTTTTAAATTATTGAACGTATCGCATACATTTTTCATTCCACCAAACTCAAATAAAATGAGTAGGAAATGTTTTAGCAAGTATTTTGCAATTTCGCTGTTACTTGAACTTGGATTTCCAGTGGCACGTTCCTCGAAACGTTCACAGGTCGCCCGGATAATGGATTTTTAAAGCCCTACGATATGGTCATTCCCATTCTGAAATGGCCTTAAAGGCTACTCCACACACCCACACAAAGGTGAATCTGCCATCTCTTTCCGCCCGACTCTTTCCGTCGCTTTTGCCGTCTGCGTTTGGTGTGTTTGTTGGCTTTGCCTATTCAGTGTGTTGGTGTTGTTGAAGTTGCTGTTGCTGTTGGTGCAGGAAACGTGTTTTTTTCAGACGACCAAACGGCGACACGGCCTATACATAGTGCACAAGAACAGCAAAGCAACAACGAACGCAGCAACAACATCTAGCGAGCGACTGGCAAACCTGCAATACATTTCATGCCCTAAGGCTAAACACGTCGCCCTGTGTTTGTTGCTCATCGCCAGTGTTCTCTGTACGGCTATCTCTCTTCATACTTCGCTGTCCCGTTCTCTGGCAACATTGTTGTTGTCATCGCTGCTTGGCCAACGACCTTTATCACGCTCTCACACACCACAAGCGCTCCTATTGGGCTGCTCTTCTGCTGCTGCTCACTCGCTCACTCACTGTACAAGCCCAACGAACTACAGTGCGACTTCCGCAGTGGGAACATGGGCCATTCAAAGAAAAATAAACAGAAGTATATCTCACAACTTATATTGCTTATAATATTTTCTTACATTTTGTTTGATTTTATTTTGTATGGCGACTTCGAAACGTTTAATAGAAATCCCGCAATTTAAATCTCTAATTTAGTATACAATCAAATGAAATTAATTGCTGAAAATGTATTTACATATGTTAGAAATATCATAGGACTGATTATAATTTTTGAGCAAGACTTAATTCAGGTAAGACTGTAACTCCAGCTCAGTCAGACGATTTTGGCCTTTTCTCGGCTCTGTTTTCTCTCGTCTCGTCCGCTTTTTGCCTCGCCTTCCTCGCTCCCTTTGTGCGTGACTTGCTTGCCGCCCTGTGCGTCCACGCCCCTTCCGCCCCCGCCCGTCTTTGGGGAGCGGGAGCGTCGTCAGCAGTTTAATAATTTCGAGTTGGAGTCTCATTTGAGCCTTTTCCCGCACTCACAAGCACACGCTTAGCAACAACCTGTCTGGCATACTCGTGTTTGGTTTGTTTTTTTTTTGTGCGCGTCGCTTGCTTCTATTTTTTCTGGTTTTATTTATATTTTTCCTCTCGCCTTGGCATGTTTTCCAATTAAAGTGCAAGCGGCGATGGCAAATTTTCCGTTTCCTATAGCGCCATCTCTGTTGCACGCGCAAGTCACCTGTCAACGAGAGTATGTGTGTGCGCGTGTGTGTGTGTGTGTGTGTGTGTGTGTGTGTGTGTGTGTTGTAATAGCCGCATACAATTTACCGTTATATGCCGGCGTAATAAGTAATAATAACAGCAACAACAAATGACAGACCTCAGTTGCTGTTTTTGTTATAATTTTTAGTATGCCCATTTCGCGTCTTTTTTTCAGAATGTTTCGTGAGCGATTTTTATCGCATTTTGCACGCACACACGAAAGCCACCGTGGCGCCATCTACTGGGGCGAAAAATAAAAATGCAATTTTATACGCATTAGCTTTGGTTTTATTTTTGTGTACTCGTTCGTTGCTCTTTTATTCAGCCTGAACTTGGTACCGCTTTCGTGAATCACGCGCCGCTTTAAAAAGCAGGTCAACCACTCCTTCCATCTCGTTTCCCCTAAACGTATGAGACAAAAAACATCAGCTAAAAAAATAATAATAAAATTACCATGCGAAGAGAACGGGCAATAAACATGCCAAGTTTATTTGACACAGATTTTATTTATGTGTTAAATGAGTATAAATACTCACTGACGTCGTTTCTGCTTCTGTTTGGGGAGTCTACAATATTTTTCATGATCAAATTAATCACTTTTACGGAGAAAGGAAAAATATTAAAATATTACATTTTTAGTTAATTTTATTAAATACAAGCTAAATCGAAAAGTATTTGGCCAAGCCATATCATCAGATTGAATAATTTCAGCATTCTATGGGGAGTCGATGAAAATGCACATTTTTGTTTAAAGGTGTCTAAGAAGTTTTCGCTTGCTTCTCATTAGCATTTAGCCATATTTTAATATTAGTATTTACTGACTGTTATACATGAAAAATCCTTTTTCCATAAATAAAGTAATACCTTCTATCCCATAATTTATTTGCACTTGAATCATTATTTAGGGCATCGAATATTATAAACACTATATCAATTGCGGAACCGCACAGCTGATTAGATTGTAAGATATCCCGATGAAGTTCTTATAATACATTATTCGATCATCTAGGTTATTTTTCTAATACACATCGCATAATCATCGCATTTATTCTGCTCGTACTTGTTTATCGTATAAATTACAACCATTTGCGGTTGCTTTTGCCACACAAAATTAAAGCAAAGGCTAAAAACAGCTGGAACCACAAATGAAAAGTAGGTAATTAACTCGCTGGCCCTCTCATCGCTTGAGTAATTTACGGCATTTGTTACTGAAAAGGGTAATACGTCCAGCTGCTCTTTGCAACAACTCATTAATCGATGGTGCAGGTATTATTATTTTATGTATCTGCTGTCAATAAAAGAAAAAAGGGAACCGCCCGTCACAAATTAAAATGATTCCATATGCAAATCGAGGGGAATATCAAACCTTTGACTAAGGCGGGGAAGAACTTTATAGTTTATTCATTTGATATGGATTACTTGATTGCTAGCTTGGTATGATGATATGCAGAGAGTTATAGGTTTGTAGAACAAGTTCGAAATTCGAAAGTTATTTTTATAACTTTTAGAACTATAAAAGCATATTAAATAGATTAAAATATTATTTTCATTATTTTCTGGAAGTTGGTTAAATGAAAAATTACACTTCCCGGTAAAGTACGTGCAAAGACAAGTTTGGAGATTATATCGATTTTTGCCTCATTTGTAATTTGATTTTCCCCTTTAGACCTGACCTACACAAAGCCAAGTCGGAGACAACATAAGTGATAAATACTGGTAGAGTAAACGTAGTTGGCCTGGACGATTTTCACAGCCCTGCCACTGGGAATCATTAGGCTTCAGCCAGTCTCAAGCTAGCAACGTTCAAAATTATCAGTTTTAGTGTTCGGATCAACTAAGTGAATTCGCATATAGTGATACCATAGTTATAGAATCGATAGGCGTCTCGAAGAAGCAAAGAGAAACGCCGAAAATGCAAGTGGTGGGTGCTCTGGTCAATATGCTGCTGATCTCGGCCTGCGTCTACACGATGTACTCGCTGACCCCGGAGGTCCATTGCTATGCCTATCTGGCGGCATCGTTCAGCCTGGTCCACGGACTGCTGGGCCTGATGCGCTCCTTCACCGAGGAGCCCGACGAGTGCGGACGCACCTTCATGATCTCGTCCAGCATACTGGAGGTTATCCCACTGCCACTGGCCAACATCGAGTTCTACTCAGTATCCAATCAGTCGGGAGTGGCGCTGGTGCACGGCTTGTCGCTGATCCCACTGTTCTACGACATGGTCGGCAAGATGTGCGAGGACTGGGACAGCTCCACGGAGACGCTCAAGGACCTCGCACTGATGGGCAACATCGGGTCCACTTTGTTTCTGGCCATCAAGGACGGCAAGCATCTATACTTCGGCGTGGTCGCCACCGTGCTCCTCGCCAGATACGGTGGCTCTCTGATCGATCGCTGCAACGAGAAGCTTATCCACCATTTAGGCACTCTGGGAAACGCTGGCATCCTGGCCCTTATGACCTACGCACTCACTGAGGGCTAGTTGCTTAGTCTTGAAATTGATCGTTTCACGGAATAAAGACACTATAAAACTGGAATGATTTTCAGCTGAGTCAGAATTGTTTATCATGGCGTCTAGAACGAGTACACATTTAACACTGGGGGATGTGGGGATCAGGACATTTGGGTAAAATCTGCAGAGGAAAGGGGGTATCCATGACAAATCTATTAATCAAGCATATTACGGTTATGTAAACGCCATGTAAGCGTATGCCCACTTCGGTGTGCTGCAGCTAAGTGGTATTCTCACTTGCGCCACTTTAAATTGGAAACTTAGTTGTTATTTGTTCGCTGTCTGACTGAATAGGCATCGTGGATAAGACGCGGTTCAAGGACCGAAGGACGCAGGACGAAGGGCTCAGCAAGAAGGACTCAGGAGGGCAGAGAAGAAAAGTGACGGCAATAGCCGTGGACGCAGCACTCTGATGCATTACATTGCCATTTCTTAGAAACACGTAAGGCAGTAAATAATATTTTACACCACTTTTGTGTGCATAGCCCAAGATATTGTCGATAGTCAATAAATATTCATTATTCTGTCTGTTTTGATCGCCTTATAAGCAATTGATTTCCCAAACAAAAAAAGAAAAATAATTAAATCTATTTAGAATATTAATTTCTTGCGTTATTATTAGGAAAGTTGCCCTTGCTATCTCGTTCCCCCTTTATAGCCGATTTACTCGGCGGATATTACGCAACACATGCAAAATGGAAACGAAGCACAGTCACAGCTAATAAATAATGCAAATTCAGTGCAGTGGCGGAGGGGAACGGGTTTCCCAGGGCGGCAAGGAGGTGTTGGTTAGCCAGGCAATTGAACTTTTGCTGCAATAACTTTCTTAGGTTGAACAGCTGTTGCTGCTCAAGAAAGATACGGCCACACCAGCAGCGAGTGAGTGAGATGGGGCGAGTGCAATAACTTTTCGCTTTTGTCCCGCCACATTTATTATCGCTTTATTTTTATCGCATAAATAAAAGTGCAAAAGCGTAAAAAGGGCTTGTCAACGGCAAGTCGCGACGTCGAGTGGAATGAAATGCAATGAATGAGTTCAGCTGAGTTGAGTTGGGTTGCGCCAAGAGCGAGACAGCAAACCAGAAACCGAAAGAGACGGCTAGCGCAAAAGTGTGTGCAAAAAGTTTAAGGACATGTTTGTCATGTTTACATTTGACTTCAAGTGCTGTGCACTTTAAGAACTTTACCTTGGAATTTTATAGGGAGCGAATGGGAGGTCAGGGGCTGGTTTTACGAAGGGCTAACTTGCGTCTTCCTGTGAGTTTTATATTTATGACGACCAAGCACGCGACTCGCATTTTATTACAATCACCGTGCAGCGTTTTGTTTTAAAAGGAGGCGGAGGAAAAACCTGAACCACACCCAACTTATAGAACTGTTTCTGTCTGGCCGAAGACCCTGGACCCTCGACCCTCGTTTTCCCGTCCTCACCGGCTTTACCGTTTAATGGTGTTAATAGCCTTTGTCAAAAATGGGCGTGTTCGGTAGACAGTTTGTGTTGTTAGCCCCTTTTTTTACGCTGATCTAAACAGGGGGCAACACACTCATTCAAAGATGGTGAAAAGGTGCGATCCGATAAGCTAAAGAGACCAGAAACCAGAGACAGCCAAGATGTAATGGGTATGGATGGAAGAAACTAGATAAGAAATTAATACGTAGCATTTAAATGTAATTTTCCTATAAGTTCTTGTAGTTTTAAGAAACGGAGTTTTACGATTAAACAAAAGACTTCTTACATTATGTGCTCGAGCTTATATAGAAATCGACCCTTGACCCTGGACAACATAGTATTTGCTGTATTGAAGGTAAAATTTGTATACCAGTACAAAAAGATTTATACAAAGGTCCAAAATACGTAAAAATAAAAGAGGTCTTATATCTCATCTCAGTTTCGAGTAGGTAAACTACATATGTATTTCGAAATTACCTTTTAAATAATTCATGAATAAAAAGATGCATTAGAAAAAAGTATTATTCCGGTAATATAACAGCTATATAGTAAATGTCATTGCCACATTAGGTCTTACTAAATTAGTAAACTACATATTTATTTCGAAATTACCTTTTAAATAATTGATGAATAAAAAGATGCATTATAAAAAAGTATTATTCCGGTAATATAACAGCTATATAGTAAATGTCATTCCCACATACTGGAATAAGGACTGTGCTGAATACAACCGACAATCAATGAAAAAATTCAAGTTCAGAAGAGTCCTTTTAAATTGCTAATTTGGGCACAACACTCTTGAGTAGATATATTATATATTTGCGCTTTAACGATACCATTTCCCAATTGATTGGCTCACTTTAACACACAATAGCTATAAATTAAACTGACTGGGCAGAAAAGCACACACAAAATGCACCTGCCCATGGCATCGACGTGTACATATGTATGTATATCTTTAAAACCAAATAAAACTAGCAAAGCATTTGAAAATTAATTGCAAAACCCATTTGGACCGGACCTCGGACAACATTTTGCATTCAGAAAGTGATAGAGCGAGGCAGACACAGAGTGAGAGCGAGACAGAAGAGGAAACGAGGGCGTTGGTCACTTAAACGGAAAAATTGGAAAACTTAAATGCACCAAAAATGGTCGAATTTAAAACGCTGCAAAACATTTTTGCCGGCAAAAGATTAAAGCACACGCATACACATCCACTCGCCGCATGTGTGTCTGTGTATCGGGTTGAATAAAGCAATTTCAGTGAGTGGCTGGGTGGTTGGGAGGTGGGTGGCTCGCCGCCCGTCACCCGTGTGGGGTTAAATGCCATAAATAACGGAACAGGCGGCAGTCAGCACATAAAATACAAGCCAGGCACATAATATACAAAACAGAGAGGAAGAGAAAGGAAGAGCAAGACTGGCAGAAGTGGAGAAAGGCAGAGAGAATGAACCGGCCGGGGATACACAAACACACGAAGACACTCGCAAAAAGCTTAGCCTGTGTGCACCACTTTCGGGTGTGGGAAAGAGACGCGCGAGCCTGAGAGACGGAGACGGATAGACAACAGAGCGAGTGAATGAATGTGTGGCGAATTTAGCTATCTTCCGGACAAATCCGGCAAAATTCAAGGATCACATTTGGCTATTTTTGGAGCTTGTGCTCGGAGTAATTGAAGTGCTGCTTAATTGTCATTAACGTTGCATCTTAAGTACACCACAACACATTGGCATACCTTTCTAAAAACATGATTATCTTAAAAAATGCTAATGCATGGAGATCATAAACAATTATTGCGTACCACACAACTTAAATTTTGTACAATTCTTTACTTCCCAATCATGAATTACCTAAAATTCTTGCTTACCTAGAAGCGTATTAACATATTAATATCCACATTTGGATATGTTAAGGAAAATCATGTTGTTTTCACATTTTTCTTACCTTACGTCAGAGGAATTAAACCGCTGAAAAACATTGAAAACATCAACTTGCTCGAAGGAATAAACCGTGTGTGCTTCCCATCTGGCGTTTTAATGGAATCTTATCCCCTGACTTACGTGGTAATCTACAGTGGGCAGCACTAGTTTCCGAGTGGCGCTGACGTCGCTGCCAGCAGCCGAAAAAGGCCAAAGGGCGGGTGGCAGAGCGGTGTAAAATCAATAAAATCAAGGGCAGACAATGCTGATGCCGCTGCCGACGTCGCTGCTTCCCCAGGCAGCGCACGTGAGGCGACCGCTCCTCCTTCTGCCTCTTGTGGGTGGAGGGTGGTGGGAGGTTTGTTGGGTGGTTTGTTCTGCTGGCAGCGACAGCAACCCCCATGGCAGCATTATTGTGAAAGTTTCCGACTGCGCGAGAGTGTGTTTGACTTTGTGTGTGTGTGTTTGTGAACGGAGGCAGTAAAACGAAATGAGAAAGCATGAAAAATAATCATTTTGCGGAGTTACTCCCGCAACGACCAGCCCCTTTCACCCCCTCATCACCTCCCTTAAATACCAAAGAAACTTTTTTTGGGCGGTGCCTAGCAAAATATTTCAAATTGCAAAGCAGCAGCTGAAAAAGTAGAGCCCTTAGAGTTTGTGGGCTTTTTGTTGTACAGCCGGGGCCAAGTTGCTAGATTTGGGCTCTTTACCGGGCTTATAACTACTAGCTTATAACCAATGCAAAGTAGGAATTCCGTCAATACCACAATGCGTATATGAAGAAATGGCACGTGCCACATACTGGAACTAAGTATTAAGTTCCAGTTCACCATATCAATTGACCGTGTTAGGGCTTGCAAGTCCTATAAACTTGGCCGAAACTGTACATCGGGAAGGTGCCCCTGCTCACTCTCCATTTCGCTTTCTTCGTGTCTGCCTTAGTGATTTTGGGCGCTGTCAGCGGCAGAAGGACGAAGATGGCAAAAAAGAACGAAGTGGCTGAAAGGGAGCAGCTGGAGGAGCAGCGGCTTCTGTTTCGCCTGCTTTTATTTTCGGCTCGCATAACTTTTTTGGGAGCGGATAAGAGGGTGTCGTGGGTGCGGCTGTCCTGGCAGGATATTGTTCTGTGGAATAGGAAGGCGCGCCATCAAATTTAATGTGCGGACTAATAGAAAATGGCGTCTGCATTTAAATTTCCCTGAAGTTTTTGGCAAGGACGTCAGAGCGGATTCCCTTTATTTCATTTTCTTTTCTTTGTTTAAGTTGAGTTTGCATTCAATTAATGTGAAAATGTCAAATGTATGGATGGAAGGGGTGGTGTCTTGAGAATTGGGCTCGAGATAGCCCTTGTTGTTACTTGTAATGTGATACAGCGAATGGAAAGAGATGGGCGTGGCAAATTTTCTTTATTCGTTGTCCTTCTGTCTTTTACAATTGTGCTTCAAGTTAAATGATGATGGCAGAACTTTAATATGTTGAAAGAAAATGGGAAACCTTGGATAAAGTGGATAAAGAGTTATTAAATATTTGTTTCTCTTTAAAAACATCACAATTAATGTCTATTTAATAATTGGTCTGCAAAATTTTAAATGTCAAAACATTCTTCTAGTTAACTCTAGCTAAGCCTAAGCTTCATTTTCACGGATAAGCTATCACAATTTGAGCCA